TGACCTTCTAGTTAGTCATTTTCTTTCTAAAATTTTCTAAGCATAGACTTAACATCTTTAAGTGGCTTTGATATTGATGGGCATCATGAAACTAATCTCACAGTCAGTCTTTCAAAAATTTAGTGTACTTAATGTTACTTATGGGTAAGACAGGTCAGTGAGTATAACAGAAAATGCACAATGAGAGAAAATACAAAGATAGAAATTCGAAGGGAAAAAAGAGACAATGCAGGTTGAGCAAAAACAGTTAATAGAAATAAAAGCAGACAGACCAGGGATTTCAGAAGGGGACAATGGAGACGAACCCCACAGGAGTAGAATGGAAGCCAGGAAAGAATGGGAAGCAGATAGACCAGGGTTTGAAATTTAGCTCTCACACTTAAGAACACAGCTAAGTTTCTCAATTTTTATTGCCTTGTTTCATGTGTGAAATGGAAGTAATCATGCCTACATTACAAAGGTATTGAGTAATTAAATAATATATGTGAATGTGTTCAACACATTGTCTGGTACCTAATAGGCATACAATAAATGTTAAATTCTCTTTCCTCATTACTTGTGCACAAAATACAAGTAGGAAGGAAAGGAGAATAAGGAAAATAATTGTCCAATTAAGAAAAAACCTAACAATTAATCCAAAACTATGATAATGGAAAAGACGAATATTCAGTGAACATAAAGTAATGAATCTTTCTAAAAATAAAAGACCCTGAGGTAAGCGAGTAGAAGTAGGAAAGCTGTTACAGAGGTATAAGCAAGAGATCATTGAACCTTGGACTGAGATGGCAGTGGTGCCCATGGTGAGAAGTATTCAGGATTGAAATCTATTTTTAAGTTGAATCTCTTGTTGAAGGTCTGTATTTAAAACATGAAGCAAAAAGACGAACTCTGTGAATAACTGGGTGAATTATGATCATTTGTTAAAATAAAGCATCCTGGAGGTAAAGCAGGTTTGGAGGGGAAAATCAGGAATTCTGTTTTGGCCTCATTAAAACTGAAATGCCAATGAGACACCCAGTAGGTATGTATGTCAAGTAGAAGATCTAAATGTGGATACCACAAACATGAATATGGCATTTAAGTCTCTAAGCAGGGAGTATTGCTAGAGTGAGTTTATTGCTGCACCCTGAAGATTCCAACTTGTAGTGCTTAGAGGAGGGACAAGTGAAATTTGAGGAAACAAGGATAGTGTAGCATCAAGGAAGAATGTGCCAAAAGTTGCTCAGTGAGGTGAGGTCTAAAAAAATCTATCACATTTAGACATGTGGAGGCAGTCGGGGAACCCTGTGGAGAGCATTTCAGTGGAATGCTTAGGACAAAGCCTCAGGTAAGACAATACCAACCCAACAAGATCGGAAACCAGTATTGGGCTTTCTTTCCTTTTAAAAGGCCAAACAACAGATTGTGAAATTTTCCAGTTGAAAATCTTCCAGTGGATTCCTATTACCCTCAGAATAAAAGCTGAACTCTTTACCATGATTTCCAGGTTCCCAGAAAATCTGGCAGTTGCTGTCTTACCTCCATCCAAGACCAGCCTCACCCAGCCCTTCCAGCCCTACTAGCTTCTTGCTCTTCATTAAGAAGCCAAGTTCCCTTCTATTAAGAGCCTTTGCATTCACTCTTCCCCAACCTGCATGGTTACTTCCCCATTTATGTGCATAGCCTTCCCTGACTACTGTCTATAAAACCCTGCCTCCTTGGGAGGCCGAGGCGGACAGAGCACCTGAGGTCAGGAGATCAAGACTAGCCTGACCAACATGGAGAAACCCTATCTCTAGTAAAAATACAAAAATTAGCCAGGCGTGGTGGTGCATGCCTGTAATCCCAGCTACTTGGGAGGCTGAGGCAGGAGAATCGCTTGAACCTGGGACGCAGAGGTTGTGGTGAGCCGATATTGCGCCACTTCACTCCAGCCTAGGCAACAAGAGCAAAAAACTCCGTCTTAAAAAAAAAAAATATACCTCCTCCACATCCTTTAGGTAGTCAACCTTACCTGGAGTTTCCTTTTTCCTATGAAACAAATCTGCACTAGGTAGGCTATCTCTGATCTTGCTTTGGCAAAAAGTGAGTTGGAAAAGGCAAAGAAAATCTTTTGAATACAGGTTCACGTGTTTATAGAGCTACTGACTTACTTACAATGCTACCAGCGATAAGATTCCAACGGTTTCCAGTAAGGGACTCTTTCATTCACCTATGTGCTATGAAAAAACCCACAACAACAAATAATACGTTTAAATTACTTAGAAAAAATAATGGGTTTGAGGAAAAGTGAAAATAAAGTTTAAAGGTTACCATTTCTGTAAGTTTGTACTCTATAGTTCAACTTAGTCTTAATTCTCTAGTTGGTCCTGCGTCCTGAAGTGTTCCTTCAAGTCACCATCATCTGATTCTGCAATCCCACTGTAAACTATTTTTAGATCTTGTCTAGATCTGGGAATATCTCAATCTGAAGATCACTTTTTAGTTACAGTATGAAGTACTTTCGCCTTCTTAATCACATTTAAAATACAGACTACCTATTAAAAATAATGGCATCCCAGTGATTCATTCAATGCCTACTTTATAATGTCAATAGTGAGAAGACTTCTACTAAGATAGTTACAGTGGGGATAGAAGAACATGGACAGACTT